ATGACGTACTATAACTTATTGATACAATATTATTAAGTTTGATGATAACAATAATTTTGTAGTTGATTATATTACGTCATTACTAGCGTATCCGATGAAATCTGCCAAAATAATGTTTTGCAGAGCAAAACAATTATGAATTATTTTTCCAGTTTCACATACATCGATCGCAACTGAAAAATATTTTTAATAGATAAGATTTTTTAATTCATTTAAACGTCAAAAAAATTTTTTTTCAAATTAAATAAATTTAAGTTTAAACTGTACTACATTAGATGATTGTACGATTCTAAGTTTATGGATTATCTTTTAGTTTAAAACTAGTGATTTACTAATAATTGTTTAGTAGCTACATATTTTCTCACGAGCAAACAATCGCATAAGCTCATTGTACAAAAGTACTTTACCGCTAGTTGTGTTCACAAGTATATGTATTTGTGTGTCTAAGTATAGCTTATGTATTTAAAGCTGAAACAATTGAAAGCGAGCAGCAGTTCATCTTAAAGAGTTGGTAGTCTCCAACCTTCGGTACATTAGGATGAAGTGCGTCAAACTTTATCACAGAAGCCAAGGCTTTAGCCTAGTAGAGTAGTGTACTATAACTTTTTGAACCAACAATTTTTTTCTTTGATTTAAATGTAAACTAAAAGGAATGATTGTTTTCATGCCACATACCTTGCACATTTTTGCAGTTAGAAATAAGATAATCTGCTTTGAGTAAAGAAATTGTCCGAGTGAGAGCAGCTCTGATGTATACTTCGCTTAAGATTTTTTCACCTGACATTAGCTGCATTCGAAAAAATATATTTGTTAAGAGTTTTTACCATCTAGAGATATAAATACAAGACACTGCTGATCCTATACGTACGGATTTTGTTTCAGTACAAAAGCAACCCACGTAGCAATAATAGCTGTCGTCGGATGGAAATATTCGAGCTAATTTTATTTTGTAAAGTTTGTCTGTAAAATAATAACAAAATATTAAATTGTATTAATATTTCTAAGACATAATTAATTGTCTTGTTTAGTAGATATGTAGTAATTTATATGTTTATACCATAATTAAACCCACTTCCAGCATTACAGAAGTTTTGCCGAGCAACTAGTATGGATTTTCTACGACTCTCAGGAAATGGTCCTGACACTTTTGGTTTCTGTAAAAAAAATGTTCCAAAAATGAAAATCTTGGCGATTTTTTGCCCACCACTATTTCTAGGAATTTTTTTAACTAGAACTCACAACAATATAACAAAAAACCTGTGTTTTACTATCACCCTGTGCTTTAATTTAAAAAAGTTCAATGATTCGTCACTATGGCTGTAGCAATCTTAATGATTTCCACTCTAATACAATATAAATTTGTTTCTTGAAACATTTAGATTGTTTTCTTTGCTACTTTCACCGACAAATATTTAGACATAAGCGGTATGAAAAGGAAAAGTTATTTTCTTACCGCAAAAACGAAACTGATGCACGTGGCAAAAATTATTAAAGTCAACTTATTCATCCTATGGTATGTGAAGTAAAAAAATTAAAAGTTGATCCAAGCAATACCACTTTTTCGTATGACATGAGTTCATTAGGAGCATTTGATTTATATATGGACAATCAAAACATGATAATAGTGGGATTAGTAGCGACACAATAAAAATGTTTGTGAGCTAACTCTGCTTGTGTGTTAATGATAATAAAATGTCTGCCTTAATGTCTTCTTGTGCACAAGCAATTTAATTTGTAACTACAATAAGATCTTGTAAATCAATAATTAGTTAAATAGTATTAAACGCACTAACATACTGAAAAAAAAGTTTTTAAAATACGTAAAAGACTGGATACAACTCCAAAAGAAATGACTATAGTGTTGTGATTGCACAACAAAATAATTTAAGTGACTCTTCGAGCGTAACTAACTTCTTGTAAACCTTAAATACAGTTTAATAAAAAAATTATTTCAAAATTATATACAATGCTCCTCTCCATAGTATATTACACACCTAGGGAGGAACGGTACCACATTATCTCCGGAAACGACATATACGGCAAGAGAACGAGTAAAAAAGCTTCTTATCATAACTTCAACACCTCAGAAAACAAGAGAAATTTATTTTGCTATGAAAGTAAGTAATGAACTATTTTTAATTTCATTTAGTGATACATTTTAACACAGCTATTAGTCGATATCAGAGATACCTCGTTCATGTTTCTATGTTAGCTCCAGCTTTACCTCAGAAAACAAGAGAAATTTATTTTTGCCCTGAAAGTGGGTAATGAACTATTTTTAATTTCATTTAGTAATACATTGTAACATAGCTATTAGTCGATATCAGAGATACCTCGTTCACGTTTCTATGTTAGCTGGAATTAGAAGTGCAATACGCTTATCCTAGTTGAACCGTTGGTTCTAAATTTATACTGTACGGCACATCAACGAGCTCAAATTAATTTCTTACTAGGATTTTTAAATATTTAACTTCTCAATGCAACAATTAGGTACAATTGAAATTGAATCTCAAACTAAAGGTTTTTTTTAAGTAGGAGTGATATTTCAGTTAACAATTGCACTTTATTTTTTCCTTAAATACATCGTCAGTGAGACCATGACTTCTTTTGTGCGCCTTTTTCTTGGTACCTCAGACATAATACGCATCTTCAGCAGAATTCAATAGCATTCAATAGTCTAATTAAATTATTAAAAAAAAAAAAATTGTATTTTAATTGTTCAAATAATTGGAGCTGTTTTCAGTTAAGAATTAAATATCGTAGGTAATAAAAACATGGATCAAAATAAATAATAACTTCAATTTTAAATGAAACTAACGTTAAATTAAAATTCAACTGAATTATGTAGAACCTTGGCTCTGACGCTACAATATTTTTTCTATCGTAAACAGATTTGTCGTAAGTATTCAAATATGTACTGTACTTGTAAATTGAAAGTTTTGAGAAAGAGTTTCAATAAATCATACCTAAATGTTGAAAATTATTTACTCTTTCCTCCAATTTTTATTAAAAATATTTTTACAGTACTCAGTTATTCCTTATTTGATGTGGTCACTGAGAAACATCCTTGTAAGGATAATCGAAATTAGAAAAAAATGTAATACCTATAGATCCTCAATGTTACATGATAAAAAAAGGAGAATTTGATTTTCACGGAGAATTACATGCGCTTTCTACGCATGCACACACAATTTTGATCTTTCACTCGAAGTGTTGACTCTAAAGTGATAAATGTACGTATATAAACACGCGGCACGTCCGATCTGAAATTCTGTGAAGAAAAAAATAAAAAGAATTCAAGTAAAGTCGCCAAACGTAACCGATATCCCTCACCCTCTTCACCACGCCCGCAAGAGCCGCTGTCATAGTCGGGGTCCTTGATCTACTTTTATTTATCGGCGGAGCCCTTTCGCCCATGCAGAGGCACCCTAATTGCAATACATCCTGCCGTTCCCTTTCACCCCAAGGCACTTTGCATTTTTTGCTGTGTTTTCTTGCCTCTTTTTTTTTTTTTTTTTTTTTTTTTTTTTTTTTTTTTTTTTTTTTTTTTTTTTTTTTTNCGCAAGCCACCATACAGTCTAACTGTATACACTAAAATGATTGTATTAAAAAGTGAAAACGTGAATTATTTACCTGGGACATTTTTGCAATTGGCGATGAGGTTGTTTGCCGTGTTTTCGGTAAGTGTTCGTTTGAGCGCGGCTTTGACATATTTTTCATTAAAGACTCTCTCCTTTGTTCCCTGTATGAAAATAGTCAATTATTATCATACATTATGTCAAATGAATAACAATTTGTCTTACGTACATATTCTATTTTAGTGATAAAACAACCCGTGTAACAAAAATAACTGTCGTCGGATGGATACCTACGAACGTATTTTATTTTTTCAAGTTTGACTGAAACAAATCATTCAAATTTTAAGTCGATCAAATATTATGAAAATTTATTTTAAATATTGCGTGGAGTACTATTGACATGATATAATTGTTACCTTGATCAAAATTAGATTCAATATTACAGAATTGTTGCAGCTTGAGCAATACAGAATCTCGAACGATTGGTTGGCTTGTTGGTTCCTGTAATTAAAAAATGACAAATGAAAACATCAAAAAAAGCACTAATGATTCCATAAAAGAAATCAAAAAAGGGTATTAAATTCTATCGTTGTACAGAAAAGTGTAAGTACGTTAATAAAAAAAAAAAAACTTTTTTCCTTACTGCTAAAACGAAGCCGACGCATGCGGCGAAGATTATTAAGATCGACTTATTCATTGTGCAGCAATTGATCTAGGCAATAGCACCTTGAGTGTGACATGAGTTCATTAGAAACAGTTGACTTATATGGACAATTAAAACATGATAACAGTGGGATTCTATCGTAGCGCTGCAATAACAATGTTTGTGAGCTAACTCTGCTAATGCGCCAATTATGACGAAATGTATATCTTAGTGTCTTGTAGTATGTAGGCTATTTTATTTACAGCTACAAATAGCTAGGAATATAGTAAAAGTTAAGGATACCAGAAGTGCACCTCATTTCAAAGCTATTAATGACATGTTCAAAGATATAAGCATAAATCCGAATGCACACTAGTATGCTCAAAGGTAAACATTTGTCAAAAAGACTAAAAATCAAACACTACAGGAAAATCAGTACTTAATAATGTGATAAATTATAATGGAGAAGTAATGCATAATAGCCGCTTCATAAAACGTGGTTGCCATGCCGAGATGTATAAAGATGTTACTTGTTGAGCTGTACAGTGAAACTCTTAGACAGAGGTGAGATATAAGGTTCTCACTGTGAGTGTGTAGCTGGTAATTGTAAAAAAGCACGAGGATATTGTTGTGAAACCGTTAATACAAAAATACTGGCACCATCCATCGAAAACCGAGAATGTGGCTTTTTTATAATAAGAACGCATTCTCTTTTCAATTCATCTCTACATAAGCTAAGTACTCGTACAATTGACCTTTTTAAAGGTAAAATATCAATAAAGCAGCAGAAACCAAGTGATTATTCAAGTCACAGAACCTTACTTGTATGCCAACAATGGAAAAGAGTTGAGGATAAAATTAAATTATGAATACATGTACCAAACTTAAGGACAGCTGATAGTAGCTGGAAGACGATACTGTGATTTAACACACCTAAAAAAAGGTACCACATTCTCCACATTATCTCATACCTCCAACTTTACCTCAGAAAACAAGAGAAATTTATTTTTGCCCTGAAAGTGGGTAATGAACTATTTTTAATTTCATTTAGTAATACATTGTAACATAGCTATTAGTCGATATCAGAGATACCTCGTTCACGTTTCTATGTTAGCTGGAATTAGAAGTGCAATACGCTTATCCTAGTTGAACCGTCGGTTCTAAATTTATACTGTACGGCACATCAACGAGCTCAAATTAATTTCTTACTAGGATTTTTAAATATTTAATTCCTTTAATTCAACAGTTACAGTTGAAATTTAATTCCCAAATAAAAGTTTTTTAAACTAAGAATCAAATACAGTTTATACTTGTAAAATTATTAATTAACTGATGTTTCCATTAACAATTACATTTTATTATTTATTTAACTACATCTTCAGTGACGCCTTTTTCTTGTTACTTGAGGCTCCTTGAGGGTATTCTGGAGAGTTTAATATTATTAATTTAATGTTTTATTTAAACCATTGAAAAATAAAATTTAGTTTTTAGTTAAACCATATTCCACTCGTTCATTAAAACTACTTTTAATCAAAAATTAAATTTAATTATTTATTAAAACATAAATCAAAATAAATGCTAACTTTAATTCTGAATCGAACTAACTTTGAGTTAACTTTGATTCAATTACATAGAACCTTGGCTCTGAGGCTGTAAATATTTTATAAATCACAAGTAGGATTTACTGTTGTTATAAAAGTACATCATATGCTTGTAAATCAAAGTTTAAGAGTTTCAGTCAAAGGTACATAAATGTTGACAATTATAAAAAATATCCTTACTATGTCCCATTATTCCTTTATTTACGTTCTTTCCTATAAAAAAAAAAAAATTGTTTTTTACGAAAAATTGCATGCATGGTATGCATACATTCACGATTTTGATGGTCAACTCAAAATGTATATGAGAGGGTTGAATGAAAAACATTTTTTTAATACCTTTGTCTATTATTTTTTAATTATTGATACAATATTATTAAGTTTGATGATAACAATAATTTTGTAGTTGATTATATTACGTCATTACTAGCGTATCCGATGAAATCTGCCAAAATAATGTTTTGCAGAGCAAAACAATTATGAATTATTTTTCCAGTTTCACATACATCGATCGCAACTGAAAAATATTTTTAATAGATAAGATTTTTTAATTCATTTAAACGTCAAAAAAATTTTTTTTCAAATTAAATAAATTTAAGTTTAAACTGTACTACATTAGATGATTGTACGATTCTAAGTTTATGGATTATCTTTTAGTTTAAAACTAGTGATTTACTAATAATTGTTTAGTAGCTACATATTTTCTCACGAGCAAACAATCGCATAAGCTCATTGTACAAAAGTACTTTACCGCTAGTTGTGTTCACAAGTATATGTATTTGTGTGTCTAAGTATAGCTTATGTATTTAAAGCTGAAACAATTGAAAGCGAGCAGCAGTTCATCTTAAAGAGTTGGTAGTCTCCAACCTTCGGTACATTAGGATGAAGTGCGTCAAACTTTATCACAGAAGCCAAGGCTTTAGCCTAGTAGAGTAGTGTACTATAACTTTTTGAACCAACAATTTTTTTCTTTGATTTAAATGTAAACTAAAAGGAATGATTGTTTTCATGCCACATACCTTGCACATTTTTGCAGTTAGAAATAAGATAATCTGCTTTGAGTAAAGAAATTGTCCGAGTGAGAGCAGCTCTGATGTATACTTCGCTTAAGATTTTTTCACCTGACATTAGCTGCATTCGAAAAAATATATTTGTTAAGAGTTTTTACCATCTAGAGATATAAATACAAGACACTGCTGATCCTATACGTACGGATTTTGTTTCAGTACAAAAGCAACCCACGTAGCAATAATAGCTGTCGTCGGATGGAAATATTCGAGCTAATTTTATTTTGTAAAGTTTGTCTGTAAAATAATAACAAAATATTAAATTGTATTAATATTTCTAAGACATAATTAATTGTCTTGTTTAGTAGATATGTAGTAATTTATATGTTTATACCATAATTAAACCCACTTCCAGCATTACAGAAGTTTTGCCGAGCAACTAGTATGGATTTTCTACGACTCTCAGGAAATGGTCCTGACACTTTTGGTTTCTGTAAAAAAAATGTTCCAAAAATGAAAATCTTGGCGATTTTTTGCCCACCACTATTTCTAGGAATTTTTTTAACTAGAACTCACAACAATATAACAAAAAACCTGTGTTTTACTATCACCCTGTGCTTTAATTTAAAAAAGTTCAATGATTCGTCACTATGGCTGTAGCAATCTTAATGATTTCCACTCTAATACAATATAAATTTGTTTCTTGAAACATTTAGATTGTTTTCTTTGCTACTTTCACCGACAAATATTTAGACATAAGCGGTATGAAAAGGAAAAGTTATTTTCTTACCGCAAAAACGAAACTGATGCACGTGGCAAAAATTATTAAAGTCAACTTATTCATCCTATGGTATGTGAAGTAAAAAAATTAAAAGTTGATCCAAGCAATACCACTTTTTCGTATGACATGAGTTCATTAGGAGCATTTGATTTATATATGGACAATCAAAACATGATAATAGTGGGATTAGTAGCGACACAATAAAAATGTTTGTGAGCTAACTCTGCTTGTGTGTTAATGATAATAAAATGTCTGCCTTAATGTCTTCTTGTGCACAAGCAATTTAATTTGTAACTACAATAAGATCTTGTAAATCAATAATTAGTTAAATAGTATTAAACGCACTAACATACTGAAAAAAAAGTTTTTAAAATACGTAAAAGACTGGATACAACTCCAAAAGAAATGACTATAGTGTTGTGATTGCACAACAAAATAATTTAAGTGACTCTTCGAGCGTAACTAACTTCTTGTAAACCTTAAATACAGTTTAATAAAAAAATTATTTCAAAATTATATACAATGCTCCTCTCCATAGTATATTACACACCTAGGGAGGAACGGTACCACATTATCTCCGGAAACGACATATACGGCAAGAGAACGAGTAAAAAAGCTTCTTATCATAACTTCAACACCTCAGAAAACAAGAGAAATTTATTTTGCTATGAAAGTAAGTAATGAACTATTTTTAATTTCATTTAGTGATACATTTTAACACAGCTATTAGTCGATATCAGAGATACCTCGTTCATGTTTCTATGTTAGCTGGAATTAGAAGTGCAATACGCTTATCCTAGTTGAACCGTTGGTTCTAAATTTATACTGTACGGCACATCAACGAGCTCAAATTAATTTCTTACTAGGATTTTTAAATATTTAACTTCTCAATGCAACAATTAGGTACAATTGAAATTGAATCTCAAACTAAAGGTTTTTTTTAAGTAGGAGTGATATTTCAGTTAACAATTGCACTTTATTTTTTCCTTAAATACATCGTCAGTGAGACCATGACTTCTTTTGTGCGCCTTTTTCTTGGTACC